CAAAACTGTTCTTCTTTTTGAGCATTGTGAAGAACCTGTGACTTCTATCTGAAGACCTCGGGATGAATCAGCCTAGGGCGGCTATGCGCCCTATTAATCTTTGTATGGCCTTAACATTGTCCACGACTGTGATGTTTTCGATTTCCTTGATCTTATCGGGGTTGATTTCGATCCCCCGATTTGATACCATAAAGCCGAGGAACTTGCCTGAGCTGGCCCTGAATGCACATTTCTCCGGGTTGAGCTTCATGTTGTATTTCCTTAGTATATCAAAGGTCTCCTGCAAATGTGTCAAATGGTCCTCTGCTCGCAGGGACTTAACTAGCATATCGTCAATATAAACCTCCATTGATTTACCTATTTGTTCTTCAAACATTCGATTTACTAAGCGTTGATAAGTGGCACCAGCATTTTTTAGTCCAAACGGCATTACATTATAACAATAGGTACCGTACTTAGTGATGAACGAAGTCTTTTCCTGATCCTCCGGGTTCATTTGTATTTGATTGTACCCGGAGTAGTCATCGAGAAAACTAAGGATCTCGTGGCCGGCTGTGGCATCGATCATGCGATCGATATTCGGCAGAGGGAAAGAGTCTTTAGGACATGCTTTGCTTAAATATTTATAGTCTACGCACATTCTAAATTTATTTCCCTTTTTAGGGACTACGACTACGCTTGCTAACCATTAGGGATATTTTACCTCTCGAATGGATCCTTTTTTGAGAAGTTTAGTTACCTCGTCCTTGATGAATGTATGTTTTACCTCGGACTGCAGACTTCTCTTTTGTTTTATCGAGTAGAACTTCGGGTCCAAGCTCAGTCGATATGTAGTGATCTCCGGCGGGATCCCTGCCATATCTAGGTAGGACCAAGCAAAATAATTCATATTATTGATAAGAAATTTAATGAGTTTTTCCCTGAGCTCGGGGGTTAACCCTGTACCCAAGTATACCTTTCGATCGGGTAAATGCTCGATCAGTATGACTTGCTCTAGTTCCTCGACTGTCGATTTGGTGGCGTTGGAATCCTCAGGGATTATGAAGGATCGAGGGATCCAGTAGTCATCGTCCTCGTCTATTCCCTACTTCCCCGACTGAGTCAAGGCTGGTGGTTATGGTTGCTATTTAGCTTCCTGTTTTCTTTTGGACTCCGATCCCTTTGTTGACGAAAGCGCCAATACTGGTGTTAATTCGTCGACCGCGAACATTTCTTTGGAAGCATGTTGTTCCCCATTCACCGTTTTTACTCCATTCGGTGTTGGGAACTTCAGTATTTGGTGAAGGGTTGAGGGGACTACCCTCATATTGTGAGTCCAGGGTCTTCCGAGTAGTGCGTTGTATCTCATATCGCCCTCGATGACATGGAACTTTGTTTCTTGAATAGTTCCGGCTACATTTACTGGTAGGATGATTTCACCTTTAGTTGTTTCACTCGCCATGTTGAAGCCATTGAGAATCTGAGCTGCAGGTACGATCTGATCTTGTAGGCCGAGCTGCTCCACGACCCTCGACCGAATAATATTGGCCGAGTTTCCTGGATCAATTAAAACACGTTTAACCTGAATTTTATTCATAAGGATAGATATTACCAAAGCATCATTGTGGGGTTAAGAGACCCCTTCTGCTTCTTCATCATCGAATGATAAAGTGCCTTCTGGCACATAGTCTCGAGTTCGTTTTTCCCTGGTGATTGATACTTTAGTGCGTTTGAACACAAGCCCTTATGGAATATCGACCCCACCAATGATCATGTGAATCACATGCTGTGGTTCTTCCTGCTCTTTTTTCCTGTTTACATCCCTGTCTTTGAAATTGTTTTTAGCTCAGTCGCTCAAGAATTCTCGAAGGTGACCCTTGTTGAATAGACGGGCCACCTCCTCCCTTAGTTGTCTGTAGTCTTCGGTTCTATGACCATGTGTACCATGGTATTTGCATATTTGATTGCGGTTTCTTTGGGATGGATCGGTTTGTAGGGGCCTGGGCCATCTAGTATCTTTGATTCTACCAATGGCTGACACAATACTTGATGCGTCGATGCTGAATTTGTATTCTGATAATCGTGGTTTTTCTGTGGGATCGACATGATTATCGAAGCTACTTTTGCTCATAAGCCCTCGAGAGCTCTGCCCTCGATCGTTCCTTTGATCATTTCAGATAGGATTGCGTCCTGGTTGTTGTTTCTACGATATACGTTATATGGTTGATACCGATCTCTGTTCGACTGGGGTTCTCTGTCGATATCCCTTTGAGTTCTATCGACGGGCCTGTTTGGATAAACGGAATCGGAAGGGGTCCCTAATTGATCATCCTCGACCCTGATCTACTGGTACCGATTATGTATATCGGCCCAGGTTACCGCTGGATATTCAATTAAATTCTACTTTAGCTGTCGTGATGCCACCAAACTTCGTTCGTTCAAACCTTGAGTAAAGGCTTGAATAGCCCAATCGTCTGTGACCGGTGGTAGTTCCATGCGTTCCATCTGGAACCGAGATACGAATTCCCTCAACATTTCGTTGTCTTTTTATTTCACCTTGAAGAGGTCTGACTTCCTAGTCGTAACCTTTATTGCTCCGGCATGTGCCTTTATGAAGGAATCTGCAGGCATGTCGAAGGAATCGATGGAATTAGGCGGCAAATTGTGGTACCATATCATTTCTCCTTTCGACAAGGTTTCTCCAAATATCTTCAGTAAAACAGATTCGATCTCATCGTCTTCCAAGTCATTCCATTATATTGTGCATGTATAAGAAGTGACATGATCGTTAGGGTCGGTGGTCCCATTGTACTTAGGAATTTCTGGCATTCGAAATTTCTTCGAAATCGATTTCGGTACCGCACTTGGAGGGAAAGGCTTCTGTACGAATTTCTTTGAATCCATATCCTTTAGAATCGGCGGTTCCCCCGGTATCTGGTCAACCCAAAAATTGTATGTCTCTACTTTCTTGTTATTTGCCTTGATTTTCTTTTCTACCGATTCAATCCGTTTAGTGAGATCCTCGAGCATTTTCATAATGGCGGAGTTAGTCTGATTCATTGGCGTTCGACCTTTCCGGCACAGGCTCGGTCCTATGGACAACTTCTGGTTCGATCCTACTTGGTGTTCGGTGCAGAATTTGTAGTTGTGCTATAGCGGCTTGTTGAGCCTGTAACATTTCGAATATAAATTGGAGGCTAACTCCACCATCTTCTCCGCTCTGCGTACCTCGACCACCTGATCAAAATTCCCTGCGTACGCTACCTTCGGGATCAACACCCAAATTTGCATTTAGGGTGACATGTGAACTGATATCGACGGGATTTGCAGTTGGTGTTCCCTCGAGGTCAGCCTGAGGCACCTTGATCCCTGGGACGGCTATATTGTCATTTTTCCTGTGAAATCCGAGGCTGTTGTCACCATGTGTAGGCGTTGCTTATGAGTTTGACATATTTATCCTGAAAACAAAGATTCTTACAAGAACAAATGTAAAGCAGTGTGTGTTATTGGAATCAGTATTAAGCAATCACTATTATCCTTAGCCCCACGGCGGGCGCCAAACTGTTTACCCTTAAAATTGGATAACAATTAAACTTACAATGTGATTTTAAGGAGCGTGGCTTCACCTAATACCAATTGATAAATGTGAAGATTAATAACAGAAATGAACTATAAAGTAAAGCGAACCAGTATTGAAACGGAATTTAACCCTCGAGCTAGGGTGCCCTCGAACTGATTGATATCAAAATAGTTAAAAATAAAGCAAACCGATGAACAAGAAAGTATAAGCTAAAGAGAAAGCGTTATATTGGCTTTTTTATGCGAGAACAATGTCCCTTACAAATGGTTAATACTCCCCTTTATATAGTAGAGGAATCCTACTTATGGTATAACTCTAATTACAGAAGAAAATCTCATGATTAGCTAATTAATCGTTCCCAATTTGATCCGTTCCGAGATTTCCGCCATGATCTTCGACCAGTCGCGGATATTTTGCCTTTCCGTTATTATATTATCTTTGATCTTGCTCGATGCCTGTTTCATTCGGTCTCGATCGTTGTTGTCCTCGATCTCGACAGGTACCTCGAATCCCGAACTTGGTACCTTGTCCTCGTACCTTGGTCTGATTCACTACGGGGCCGACCTTCGATGCAGCTCCCTGGTCCCGGTCAAATAAAAAAATTGGGTGGGCTCAGTTTTAACCATATACACTTTCTTTTTTCTTTTTAAAATAATTAATCTTTTGGTACTCGAATTCAAAAGAAAGAAAGTAATGTTATTATATCTTGAGAGAATTTACTGTGAAAGTGTAATGAATTTCAATTAGTCCACAATTAACTTTCTATAACAAACATGGATTGGTGATCTGCCAAAGATGATAAATAACATGGTTACATTAATAAAAATACTTTGATAGTGTGAAGAATATAATACCATAGATAAATACTAACTTAAATTATACTAGAAATAGCGGGTAGCATATATGTTAGATACGTTCGACCAAGCCCATTATACTGTTGAATTATGTAACATTAAAGAAAATATTTTATTTGAAATCTTTGAAACTCTTGAATGCTCTTTACAATTTTTCTCACAATTCTCCACATCCATGTTTATAACAGTAATTAAGAAACCTATCCTAACTAGAAACTGAAAAACTTATTCTTTTTATAATTTTGACTACAAATTCTAATTAAACATGAATTAAATAAATTTGTAAATATTAAATTCTAAAAAATTTAGGTATCCTACTAAAAACTTTGGATCTATAATAATGTTTTCTCTATTGAATATTACCAAGTTAGTGAAATATATATTTTGAATTTGTTTTCACCGTTAAAGGTAGAAACATTCAAATTTAGTAGTCTACCAAGTATTTCCGAAGTAGTAGAGTAAAAAGAGTTTTATTAGGAGTTTGTTGCTCAACAGAATTCTAGAATTTACCTCTTAAAACTTTATAAAAGATAAACTTCACTTCTTATCACTTAATTATTCAATTAAGTATTCTTGCATTCTACTGTTCCTCTCTCCTTTAGCAATCTCTCCAAATTTTTAATTAATTCTCTTCCTCCAAAATCTTCAAGAATTAGGATTTCTTGTTCACGTCTTTATATTTATTTGTTTGATTAGTGAAAATAATGAGAGGTTTGAAGAACTTTCAAGTGTGAAAGTTTCTTGATTTTTCTTCCCTTTGCAAGATTAAGAGTAACATCCTTCTTCTTTTTTCATTCTCACCATAAATGACAAAAGGTTTTACTAACAATTTCATTAGCATTGTCGATATTCCTGAGAGTCAAGTGATTTACCAGTCAATTCTGACGGTTCAGCTTATCGATACACGTTCTTCGCCTTCACCAGAACCCAGTATTATCACGAATTTCTCAGCAACCAAGTTCCGTAAAAGGTTTAAATCTCTACTAGCCTTGTTAATATTAGTGTAAAAATTCTTTCTGCTGTGTGCATACAACTTAAATCCTTTTATAATATATTACAAAATAAGATTCTTCTCTTATCTTTGTCACATTTTATGAATATTAGTAAGATGTTATTATTATGACTTCATGGAAATTTCTCAATGTTTGATAGTATAAACACATATATAATACTTCACCTACAAGTAAACATTGCATGAATATTACAACCATAGATAGTTTCTTGCTTTTTCGTGATTGACAACAACATCTAAAGTAGAAAAATATAAACAAAGATGTCAAATTGTTAATCCTATTTTTTATCATTGAAATTGAAATATGACATTATCCAATAAATTTTACTCTTGCTTCAATTTGAGAGTTGGTGACATAATTGAACTTCTACTAGTAAATTTCATATGCTATTTTGATTAATGTTGAAAACTGTGAGAGACTGTTTCTATATGGTCAATGACGCATGAATTTAAAGAAATTAAGGGCCACGAAAAGACATAACCAATGACCGTTTTCTATGTATCTCCTTTCTATTCCCATGTGTTAGTATTATTCTCGTATTTTCTTATGCTTAGATCTTTACTGCTAACTATTGTTTCTTTCGTTTCGATTTTCTTATCATCTTATCTTGTTATTGTTACTACTTATTATTACTGTTTCTTTTTTCATCTTTCCTTGAGTCTATCGAAAATCGCTTATCTGCATTCACAAGGTAGGAGTAAAGTTTGCTTATATATTATCCTTTTCAGACCCTACTTGTGAAATTTCACTAGGTTTGTTGTTGTGTTATTGTTGTTGTTGAAAAGACATAACCAAATGGACTAAATATGAGGGGGAAAATAAGGAAAAAGAATAATTTTCACATAGGTCATGAAATCCACTTTTAGAGGCTTTCAATGAATCTGAAAACTTGTCCTAAATATATTATTTTGATCATTTTGAAAACGACCGTTTGGTTATTCTTTCTATATATTGAGCTATTTCCTCTATCAATTTTCATCAATCTTCTTCTTGCATGCATATACTTGCTAAGGCAAATATTCATAATATATCTCTGTCAAGCACTTCAAGTAAGTTTTTTTCTTTCCCAAAATGAATTGAGTTATTTCTGCCAATTTATACTCAGTACTACATACATCTGATTTTCTTTCTCTTTACATGGAAAGATTAACGATTTATGATAGCATCCGCCTTGTTTATATTGACATTATGGGCAGAATAGCTATTCCAATGCCAAAAATATTCACGATATTACACAATGTGTAAGGATATATATAGACTAGTCTAGAAAATTATTTCGCTAAGAACAATTACGGAGAAATATACTTGTTTAAATGTAAGTACATACACATATACATTGATAGTGTAATGAAAGTGAAAGAAACTAAACCTAATTATTAAGATACTTCTTGTTGTGGTTTTTTACTCCCTTTACGTTATTCTGTAATTTAAAGTATAGTATATAATTTGTTTTGCATCTGAATTTTACAGAGATTATCCCAAATGGCAACAATTGTGTCAACTAACGCCATGCAAGTACAGGTTAGGACTGCTTTTATTCATATTATTTTCTCTTTGCATTAGTGAAACCTTTCGTATTGTTAACCTTTATGTTGCTTGCATTCTTTTAAAATATAGTTGTATGGTGTTAGAATCTTTAAAAGTGTTTCAATTTTAAGGATTCAATACAAATAAGATAACAATATTAAATATATAGTCCGAGCAATTAGGTTAGAGACAATATTAATAGTGGAATTGTTGGACTTAATTGGAAGGTACAAATTATCACTTTTAAATAGCTCCATCTTATTTTTCTCTTAGTAAATGGCAGGTCCCAATTTCTCCTTTTAAATATTGGTGGGTTTTTCCTTTTTCATGATTATACTTCTAAGGGATTTCTAATTTAACACGTGCTTTTCATTGCACACGTTCTTATATATGAATATTCACAAAATAAACTAAAATAAAATAAGAACAAATATTAAAGGCATGGAAAAAAAGAATGAATTAACCTAGTTATTAATATTTTCTTTCTTTTATTGGCACAGACAAATGAAAAGAATTCAGCTGGAGTGCAAAATGGCCTCAAGCAGAGAATTATCATCAAGCTTAAAGTCTTTAGAAGCAAAAAAACTGGAGGATGGTATTCGGCATTTCTTTGTTTAGGTATATTTATCTTTTAACTTACCCTTCCCTCTCTCTCTCTCTTTTTGTGTGTGTGTTTAGAAAGCGAAGGTGAATTTAGGGCAAGTTCTGTGGGTTTAACTGAACTGACTAGCTACTTTCGGCTCGAGTAATATATGCATGCGAAAAAAATCAAATTATTTATATTATAATAGATCACACTCATTTTCAATTCACATACTCTAGATCCTGGATTCATCCTGTCTAATGGTTTCCTTTTAATGTAAATGTTACGCGTATTTTTCAAACATATTGTCGCACTTGTGTCCGATCCTCCAAAAACACAGAATTCGACACGCATCCATCCGCATTTCTGAAAAGTCTAAGCAACATAAAAGTTGAACTATTGGCTAAGGATATAATTTCCTTTTAAAGTAAATGTTGCGTGGACTTTCCAAAATCCAAATATGTCGTCGCACCCGTGTGTCAGACCCAACAAAAATTTACTACTTTTGGAGGATCCGACACGCATCCATCTGCATTTCTGAAAAGTACGAGGAACATTAAAGTTGAACTGCATATTGGCTAATGATCAATTTTTATATTTTGGTTGTTGCAGTAAACCAAGGATTAGCAACACTAGCTTTCTTTGGTGTTGGAGTGAACTTGGTATTGTTCTTAGTAAGAGTGTTGGGACAAGATAATGCAACTGCAGCTAACAATGTTAGCAAATGGACTGGAACTGTTTACTTGTGTTCACTTTTGGGAGCTTTTATCAGTGACTCTTACTGGGGTCGTTTTCTCACTTGTGCCATCTTTCAGCTTATTCTCCTCCTGGTAATGAAATATAGTACGAGTAAACTTTTTATTTTATCCTTAACAATATATTGTTATAATCATAGGAATATCATTTCACGTGTTTAAGATCACAAGTTATAAGCTATGTTGCCCGGACTCTCCAAAAATATCATCCGGTGAGTGTCGGATCCTCATCCGACACGGGTGCGGCATCACTGTTGGAGAGTCTTTACAACATAGGTTATAAGGGTATTTTTTATATGTGTCAAAAGTCTTTCTTTGTTTCATAAATTATGTGCACACTCAAATAGTACCATATAATATGGAATGGCGTAATACTAGATCTAAAACTAGTTAGTGCAAAGTTTCTTTTCTAAGTAGAGGATATCTATATAATATACTTTATCATTGTTATGAGTTTAACTTACACTAGTATAAAAAAAATACGCTATCAGATCACCTAAAACTTAAGTACGTCATTAAAATAAGTAGAATTACGTAGAAAATAAGATAGACAACCTACGATAACATGAGAAGAGAAAGTCTTGGAGCAACAGTAAAGTTGTCTACGCGTGGAATCAGCCACGATGCTTGTATCAGTGTATGCTGCCTACATCACGTAACTTGGGGTGTGACCCTTCCCCGTACCTTGCGTAAACGTTGAATGCTTCGTGCACCATGCTGCCCATTTAACCTACTATAACATAATAGATCACACATATTGCGCAGAACGTTTTTACATCGTCTGTGTATATAAATTAAATCCCATGCATTGTTACCAACTAACTTGATATGTGATTGATCCAGGGACTGGTGATCATGTCAGTTACATCTTGGATTTTCTTGATAAAACCTGAAGGATGTGGAGATGGAATATTGAACTGTGTACCCCCATCTCCTCTTGGCACTGCATTATTTTACTTAGCCATTTATTTAGTAGCTCTTGGCTATGGTGGTCATCAACCTACAATTGCAACTTTTGGATCTGATCAATTTGATGAGGCAAATCCTAAAGAAAAAATCTCAAGAGCAGCTTATTTTGGTTACTTTTACTTTGCACTTAATGCTGGATCTTTAATTTCCAATACTATTTTGGTATATTATGAAGATGGTGGTAAATGGACTCTTGGTTTTTGGGCTTCTACTGCTGCTGCACTTTTGGGCTTGTTTATTTTCTTGTTGGGCACTCCTGGTTATAAGTATGTTAAATCTTTTGGTAATCCTTTGCCACGTGTCGCTCAAGTATTCGTCGCCGCGGTTCGTAAATGGCGTGTGGCTAATGTTGAAGGGGAAGAACTATATGAAGTTGATGGCTCAGAATCAAGCATTAAAGGGACTCGGAAGATCCTCCATAGTAATGATTTCAAGTGAGTAGCTCTAACCCTTCGATCCATACTGTATGTCTTTTAAGATTTTTATACCACTCGGAAAGAGTTTAAAAGCTTTCGGTATAAAGTCAGACATCTCTATAATAACATTCCTAAATAACAGTCATTCACTATAAATGTCAAGTTTTTTTCTGTATCGATTTTTATGTTATGTTATAATATATGTCCTTTATTACAGTACTTCACTATATCCAACCAAAATATATCGGAACAAATGAGGTTGTTATAGAGAGTTTTGACTTTATAATATCTTCAGTGTCCAGGCTAGCTTGTGTGTGCATCGACTATTCTATCAGATACATATTATCTCCCACTAGTATTACCGAGTAACTATATTCACCAAATTCACCTTTTCTATCTTTGCTAGAATTTGAACCTCGGTCCCGTGATTTTTATCCACTTTATTGACCGTTAGACGGCATCCTTAGGTGATTTTAATGTTTAAATAACTTCTTATTTTGCCTTGAAAATTTGTCCAGGAAACTAGATAATGCAGCAATAGTGACAGAAGAAGATAGACAAAGACCAGCATTTAACCCATGGAGATTATGCACAATCACACAAGTTGAAGAAGCAAAATGCATAATAAGAATGTGTCCAATTTGGCTATGCACAATAATGTACTCTGTTATATTTACACAAATGGCCTCTTTATTTGTTGAACAAGGTGAGGTTATGGATGCAACAATTGGCCATTTTCGCCTTCCAGCAGCAAGTATGTCAGCATTCGACATATGTAGTGTGTTAACCTGCACATTTCTGTATAGGTTTATGGTCGTACCATTAGCTGGGAAATTAAATGGTAATCCAAAAGGATTAACCGAACTTCAAAGAATGGGAGTTGGATTAATTATCGGTATGTTATCTATGATTGCAGCTGGCGTAACAGAAATTTACAGGCTTAAACACGTAATCCCTGGAAAAGAAGCAAGTTCACTAAGTATTTTTTGGCAAATTCCACAATATATTCTTGTTGGTGCCTCAGAAGTTTTTATGTATGTTGGACAACTTGAATTTTTCAATGGACAAGCACCAGATGGAATTAAAAGTTTAGGGAGTTCACTTTGTATGGCATCAATGTCACTTGGG